GCTTTGTACATAGCCGCGAAATTCCAAAGACAAAAAAGCGGAAGGGAAATAACGGCCAACCTTATATTTCTTATTTTATATCCGAGGTACATCGCTTTTATCAAATTTAAGTACGCAAATATGTACATATTTATATGCACATTAAAAGTTTTAAGACTGTTCAAAAATTTATTTTCACAGGATACAGGGAAAGTGCGTTTGTGTTTGCCATCTCCGCTGCCGGTGTAGCTCATAATGTTGCTCGAGCTTGCAGTCAAGGACGGCTGGTGTCCTGCGGTTGTGATCCTTCAATTAATAGGAAAACGCTAAACAGAAATCTTAGAAGAAGCCTTGATAAGGAGAAGAAGCTATTTCTCCAATACTTAGAAACAAACCAAATATTAACACCTGAAGAGGAGAAGAAGTACGAAAGGGCGAAAATTACCAGCCGCTGGAAATGGGGAGGATGTTCTCATAATATGGACTTTGGTGTTGAGTTTTCTAAGCTATTTTTGGATTGCCGCGAGAAGGCTGGAGATGTACAATCAAAAATTAACCTGCATAATAATAATGCTGGACGAATCGTAAGTAATCAAATAATAATTATTAGTTTTCGTTAGTTACACACATATACATACATATATATACGTTCTTTTGTTTTTGATTAAAAAGTAAAAGAGACCAACTCCATTTATGTTCATTGTGAAACCATAAGGTTTGTTAGAATAACGGAAATTATTTTATGCAGTACATGTAATACAATTTCTTCTATTTGTGGCACTAAATTCACATTCATGTTCATCGTTAAACTATAAGGTTTGTTAGAATAACGGAAATTATTTTATGCAGTACATATAATACAATTTCACCTATTTGTGGCACTAAACTATATCCAATATTATACATTCAGTTAATTTTGCTAAGATATCTTAAATATTAACCGATATATGCGGGAAAGGGCCAACCAGAAATTTGAACATATTTTATTAGGTATAAGGGAGATAGGTATAGTATTCACCTAATTTTATCTTAATATATTAATTATTGACAGAAACAGATGCTCTCTCAGTTTCATTAAGGTATCTCACATACCATCAACAGTATAGGTATAAGGAGTAAAGTCCACCGGATGTTTGAAAATCGTGATATTAGTTATAAAGGAGCTGGGGCAGATTTTCACACGATTTTATCCATCTTAGGCAGATAGATACACTGTTAGCAGAAAAATACGCTCACTCAATTTAATTAAGGTAACTTACATATTGGCCGATATATGGGGTATTAAGTCAGCCGGAATTTCGAAAATGTTTCTATTAGGTACATATATGGGGACTAATCGAATTATTGATCCAATTCAATACAATTTTGATAAACAAGCATATTATCAGAAAAGGATTCTCCCCGAACTTCGATAATATATCTTATAGAATAAGCGATATTTTTCGGTACCTAAGAGCTTGAATTGTTTCGTTTTGTGGGCGTGGCAGTGGTCCGATTATGCCCATCTGCAATACCAACCGTCACCCGGATTTCAACTCGTCTCTTCATCCTGATCATTTATATGTATATAACCCTATATCTATCTCGATTAGTTTTAACTGATACAAACAACCGTTAGGTGAACAAAGCTATTATGTTCTGTAGCAACATGTTGCCAGAGTATAAAAATGTGGCGAAACTATTCAGCAGAACGCTATACGAAGAAACCAAATGCTTTACAATTAAATTTGGGGAATTAGCTACTTATGTTCATATATTATAAGTCGTAGTCTCACATAGTTTCATTACTACATTTTGCATGTCTGACATATTAATATTAAAATCAACTGAATTAACTCAAATCAGATACACATACGAGTATGTGATATAAACTCAATCAAAGAGGCTTGATTATTTTCATGCGAAATTTATTAGGAAGCACACAGCACTGCGGTATTAACTCCTTTAAGATATTAAAGCTTCACTTAGAATAGCGTTTACTTAGAGTAAAAATTCGCGGTATTTCGTATACAAGGTTTTATTATCAAAAACCAGATTTTGCAATTTTACATATTTTTATTTATTTATTTATTTCCCAATGAAATATACAGTTGAACTGCATATTAAACCCTATAGAGACAAAAAACAATTGCCTGTTGATAGGGTAGGGAAAAGATAAGCCTAGGCCTATCGTACATGTATAATATTACTATAATTATGTAAATATATGAATGTATAAATGTATAATGTCACTCCCTTTTGA